GCGAATCGCGTTAGCGAGACAACTGGTCTCAAAAGTTGAAGATGGAAATCTTTGATCAAACCAAGATTAACTCGCGGAAACGTAATCCCTCATAATCTTAAGAATGGCAACAAATCAGCGAATTATAAAGTAACTGTTTAGGTATGTCGCTCGCGGGCTACCTGTAATTACATATCAGTTGTCCGTTTTAAACCAACATCATTACTGCATAGTAAAACAGGGACAATTTCGCTCCCGCAGTTGAGTCAGGTTGTGCAATAGGGAGAAACGGCGACGAAGCAAAATAACCAGAAGTAGCAGCGAGTTGAAGTGTTTTAGATTTGATAGTTGCTTTAATATACTGACAAACACTTGAATCGAGGCAATTTTTAAACATGTCCTCTCCACCAAACACACCCATACACACACGAGCAGAGCAACTGGGGTTTTCTTTGTCATAAATCACACGGGCCTCATTCGCGAAAAGGGCGTGCTGGATAACTCCAAACTTCGAAACCCTGCCTTACTGAACTGATAGAGTTAGTTGTAGTAGTTAGTGAGGAAATTTATTGGCCGCTTTTAATTCTTGCATGCAGACTGATTAGTTGTGAAAACACACCCAATACAGACTGGTAGACAGATTACTTCAGTGAAGAATTTGGAGTGAAATGCTTGCTAACGAACTTGATTCGGACTTGTCACCTTGTTATAAATCCTTATAAGATGTATACACTATACTTGATGCTAAAAACCTCCAAGACGGAAAAATACAGCATTTTCCGCTTTTGAATCGTTAATTTATAGTACTATAATATTGCAGACCTCGTGTAGAAATATGGCATCCTATTTGCGCCATATAACTAACGGCAAAACATTGCGAAATGAACTGAAACAAAGTCAGTTTTGAAGCCAATTGGAGACTATAAAATAAGATCAGTTTAATAAAGAATTTTACTCTTAATTCATTTAATTTAGAGGAAGACAAGACGAGCCACTCATTTTGGGTTTTCGTGCAGACCGCAATAACAATAAATTGCAATATCACCAATAAAATTTTAAGCATGGCATCTATGAATACCCTAAGTAATCACGGCTAGATACTTCAATTCTTTTGTATAAATATATTGCTTTCTACTTCCTTAAAGGCTATTCCTCACCATGACAATGCTGAATTTCCAGGTTAAATAAGACAAGAACAATACATGTTGTTAAATGATAAAACATCTTTCAGTATTTAGAACGTGTAATTTGCATATTTGCATCCGCATTATTTGTCGTGTGATGTCGTGACTGGCTTGTTTATCAGACTGTACACATACATTTGGGCCTCTTTAGAGATGACAGCTCCAAGTGCCATTTATAACACAATGCTTAACTTGAGAAACTATGCAGTCATTTGTTAGCCTCGCCTTCTCATTCCTTTGGCGTTTTCAAAAGCACGTTCCTTTTGCATCAACCACGTAATTACGGTCTAAGGAAGAACTATCCACTTTTCCGCGTATCTAGCGAACCACAGGTCCCACAATAACGGCCATATATATGCACATCCATTCCAGACCGGCCGAAAATTAAGACTTATTCTATATGATCACTCATAGCAATTGGCTAAAGTTGCTTGAGTTTGGTCGCTACATGTTTTCAGCATGCGACCAAATCTCTTTCATGGCTAATTTTCTGAATAGCATGTCATCTGAGCTCGGTTTTTTTTATTTGTCGAATTTCACTGCCATTTGGCGTTCTAGATTATCACGCGGACATAACGAATATTGAGGCTGTACTGTAATGGATGCCATTGTTGGCTAGCTTTATAGGATCGCAATGCGTGCACAGAGCTGTCTTTCGCCTGACGACGGATAACAATCCAACCTCTTTCTGGTCGATGTTTTGGCACAGTTTTGAACATCGTCTCTTAAAAGTAACATACAGGTACTCTTTTAAAATAAAGTATTGATAAATTGCGCAAACAGATGATATGCTCTGCAGAAAAAAAGCTAAATAGTATAGATCGAAAAGCCTAGTGCTTATATTATAAGATGAAGATATTTCGTTAGATCAGAGTTCAATAATACCAAACATCTAATAGTTCTATAGATATGAGAAAAATGTAATTTTGAACTCAAGGAAATGTAGCCTGCAGACGGCTACTACAGGCCAAACGAATTTTAGTGTAAAAAGTTTAACCACAACCGGAAGTTATAAATTAGAAGATTGGTTGCGTTAACCTTCGGGTGTTCTGGTCTAAACTAATTTCTTTTTTTTCTATTTCTTAGCCTCGATGGCGACATCAGTAATGGAGTCCATGACATCATCCATGTCACAACACATGTCTCAATCGATGTCATCACAAGTGTCTAAATCAACGACACCACAAATGTCTCCATCGATGTCAACGCAAGTGTCTCAATCAACGACACCACAAATGTCTCAATCGATGTCAACGCAAGTGTCTCAATCAACGACACCACAAATGTCTCAATCGATGTCATCACAAGCGTCTCAATCAACGACACCACAAATGTCTCAATCGATGTCAACGCAAGTGTCTCAATCGATGTCACCACAAATGTCTCAATCGATGTCACCACAAATGTCTCAATCGATGTCACCACAAATGTCTCAATCGATGTCACCACAAATGTCTCAATCGATGTCAACGCAAGTGTCATCATCGATGTCGCAATCCATGTCCCAATCCATGTCACCATCCGTGACACCACCGACCTCTGAGCTCATGTCAATGTCGACACCGCAACCGGTACCTCCACAATCTATGTCACAATCAATTTCTCGGTCCATATCCCCATCAAGGTCACAACCAACATCAATGCCCACTTCATCCAGCGGTTCCGATCAGGGAGACCAAGGAGCAGGAAAAGGCGATGATGATGATGACGATGATGGTACGTACTTTATCATTTTTCTCATCATAGCGACCTCATTTGACATGAATAAAAAAGGTTATGGGCAACAATATGGCCGTCTCTGATTGGCTCATAATGTTATTTAGTATTAGTAAAATTATGTAGTAGGGAAGGTGCAGTGGTGAGAGCACTTGCCTCCACCCAGTGTGAACCGGGTTCGAGTCTCGCACGTGGCGTCACATATGGATTGAGTTCGTTGTTGTTTCTCGCCTTGCCCTGAGGGTTTTCCTGTTCAGTTTCCTCCCTCCACTAAAACAAGCACTCCTAAATTCCAATTCGATGCAAGAAACAGTCGACGAAGAGCCTTTCCTTGCGATCTGCCTCTGCAAATTCCTATTTGTTCATTTATTTAAGTATTTATTTATTTATTTATTTATTTATTTATTTATCTAACCCGGGTAACCGCACAAACAAGATATTGTCAAGCATCTGGCCTCAAAGTTGACCAGAGTATCTTTCCCTGACAGAAGCAATATTGCATCGATACAGCTCAGAAGTTTCGATTTTGAAATGATTATTTTATACATAGCTCCCGCCAGCAAACGGAAATACGAGGTGATCATTAGACTTTCTAAGTCAAGAGGATAGTCAGTATGCTTAAAAATTCATTTAACTGGACGGCTGGAACCGATCCCGCTTCTCAGCAGCTGTATAGAATTAGTTTTCGTGTCAAGACATTATATTTTGGTTATAAGTCAGATTTGCTGATACGAGTATCAACATTTTCAATACTGCATGCGCTGGACAAACACAAATTTTTAGCGGTAGGGATTTTCTTGTATAAGTTCAATGCTTTGTGCAATCTGTTCCGATCCACTTTGTTTACCAGCTGTTCTTTTTGTCAGTTATAAATTTCCAAACGATTATTTCATGCATGGCGACCTCGCGCTATGGAACTGAAAGATAAAGTGCGGCGACTGAGTTTTGGAGAAAGATATACCCAACTACTGTTCATCCTTAGCAAAAATAAAAAAAAAAAGAAAAAGGAAAAAAATTCTCTGTACCAGATTTGAACCAGTGACTCCGGAACGGTAAACCAATACTACACTCCACTGCTATAGTAGCGTGGCAAGAAAACATCACGCAATTATTTACACTTAAACAACTGCGCATAGAGAACATTTACAAAATTGCGAATTGCTCAGCTATAAATAAATCTACGGTGGCCCATGTAGGACATCAACAATTTTTTTTTCGATTACAAATTTTCACTCAATATTTTGTTACCAAAATCTGTTTTTTGTAATTTTCTAAGCATACAACGTGGATTTCTACCGCAAAAATTCGACTTAGAAACATCGCCTAATGTACAACTCGGATTTTTACCACAAAAATTCAAGTTTTCTAATTTCTAAATAAGCAACTCGGATTTTTACCACAAAAATTCGATTTGTGTAATTTCCAGAAACCACAACTCGGATTTTTACCACAAAAATCCGAGTTGTCTAATTTCTGAATAAACAACTCGGATTTTTACCACAGAAATCCGAGTTGTGTTATTTCCAGAAACCGCAACTCGGATCAGTTTACCACAAAAATCCGAGTTGTGTTATTTCCAGAAACCACAACTCGGATCAGTTTACCACAAAAATTCGAGTTGTGTAATTTCCAAAAACCACAACTCGGATTTCTACCGCAAAAATCCGAGTTGTAAACATCACTTAATGTACAACTCGGATTTCTGTCGCAAAAATCCGAGTTGTTAAATTACCAAAAACACAATTGAGATTTTTACTTCAGACACACGGTTTTCCTCCGGAAACGGCTTACGTGTGCTACGAGAAGGTGAAGCATATATTTAGGTAAGCTGTGTGTTTGCTTGTATAAATCAATCCAAGAACAAAAAAGACAGTTTTAAAGTCAATGATGCGGAGATGATGTCTGTTGAATTTCAGATTCAATACTCAAGCTGGGTTAGTAGCACTTTAAATTACAGAGTATTTATGGGAACGCTATTACAGAGAATGTATGGGCACGTTCACATTATTGCAAATTTCTCGGCTACAAAATATTCAATCCAAAACCAAAATGAACAGTTCTAAAGTCAATGATGTCTAGATGATGTCTATTAAATTTCAGATCTATAGCTCCTCAAGCTGAAAAAAAGTATTTGTTTAATTACAGAGCTTGTATGGGAACGCCATTACAGAAAATGCATGAGAACGTTCACATGATTACAAATTTCTCGGCTATAAATGATTTAATCCAAAATAAAAAAATGATAGCTTTAATACCACTTATATAGCCATTCGTTTCACCAGATATCAGAGGAAAAGGTATAATACTGGAGCTTACTGAATTATTTAATTTTATTTACTCTATATCTTGTTTGTGTAATTATTTATTTATTTATTTATTTACTATTTAAGCTTATTTACTGCAGGACAATCTGATAGGCTGAGCCGCTCGATAATCGACTATCACCGCATAGAAACTCATTTAACACATAATTACTACCGTTCTTTGAGTAAATCCTGGGTGAAATTCGCGCGAAGTTCCAGTTATCGAACTCATCTTTTCTCACGTCTTTAAACCATGCTTGAACATACCAGTTTCCAAGTGTAGGTGTATTAGGAATATTAAAGAGTTTTTTCATCCTCACAGATCGTAAGGTGATATTGATCCTGCTGTCCGTGGCTATAGGAGTGATGGTGCTGGGCATGATCATTATAACAGTGGCTATTTGTTGCGTGTTTCAGAGGTAAGGTGTTTTTCAATCAGTGTCTGAGGACATTTGAATTAACATCACACTCGCTTTTACATCGGGTCACTTTTCAAGTAACTGACCTTTGCGCCAAAATGCAGCGGTTGTTGAAGGCAAAGACTCGGACCCGAACTCATCCGAAAACGGATCGGAGCGCGCTGAAATATTCCGAGGTATTCAAGTACACCTGAGATAGCCTATTAGAATCTAGCCTGTTTTTCCGAACTCAACTTCAACATGTCATGTGTACATCCTTGTATTGCGCGTGCGCTGCCGAAGTACTGAGTTCTTCACGCGAGTAAGGCCCGTTCCAAACGCCGCTCTATTCATGCGCCGAACCTAACTGATGAGTTAAGTACGGCAGAAGAGCGGTGTTTGAATCAGTTTGGTTCGGCAGGTTAGGTTTGGTGCGGCAAACAATATTAAATTCGGCAGGGTCTGTCGAACTATGCGACGTTGGAGCGGCAGCTGATTCATACGGCGTTCTCCTCATGGGTCGAACCTAATGCATAAATTACTGTAGTGTATTTTTCATATAACGGGACTCGTGATTGGCTCAAAATTGAGTGGTGTGACTAGTCATGCATGAAGCTCGAAGTCGTCACTAAAAATAAACACAACGAAATTAAATATACCTTCGATTTAAGAGAAACGGGACTGTACAAGCGAGTTTCTTTCGCGCAAATTCATTTTTTGCTTTTTCTTCGTGATAATAACCCAGGTTATGCGATTTCCCTTTAACAAGTCGAATTAACCGGGAGAAAACCTGTCTAAACACAAACACTGAACCTTGAGTTTGAATTTGTTTCCTTAAATATTGCTGTAACAGCGAAATGTTAGTCACAGCTTTTCTATTTGGACAGAGTTCTTGAATTCAGAACGCATATTTTCTCGTCGAAAATTGTTACCACCGGCTTCCGAATTAAGTTCGACGCAAGTACGCCGTCTGAACCAGCCGTCGCTCGAAAGTCGCTCTGAAGTCGAACTTAATCAAGTTTGGTTCGGCACATGAGTGGAGCGGCGTTTGGACCGGGCCTAAGTCAGCAGTCCTTGGTTCAACTTCTCTCCAGTCCACCGCACATGATTGTGCAAAAAGAACCCTCGTCAGGTGGGCCAATACGAGCCTTGCTATAGTCCCTGCCCAGCTAAGTTCGTTGCTTTCGCTCTCCGAGTCTTAAACTGTTTCTCATTGTTGTTATTTGCATTTCAGGATCAAATAAAGAACTCATTAAACACATGGACGTGAGAAGGTGGTAGAGTAGCTTAGCAAAGCGTTACCACAAGCAAGAAATGGAAAGATGCTACTCTAATAAGTACGCTTTTACAATTGCCTTCGCCGTACAAGTTGTATCGCTTTGATGTCAAAACCCTTCATCTACAACTTACTTTAACAGACTATAAAAGTATCACTAAAGAACGCAATATTGCAAAATCGGCGATTTTAATTTCCTGACCAGCATAATTGTAAGGTAAGGCGCAACTCGAGGTTTACTTCTCAAAATAGAATATGAGTTTAAGCTCAACCCTAACCCGCTACCGATTTTGCGAAGGAAAAATAATTCGAAAGGGTGTAATTGTATCAAACCCTCCTTCTCCGAGACGACATGTAGGGAGAGTCTGTTAGCTCAACCCCCGAGTTTTACCCCTTTTTCTCGCGCAAATTTGCCTTTATATACCAAGTTTACGCGGGGGTGGGGGGCGTAGTCAAAAATTAATTAGGTAGTACCCATGCATGTTTCACTGTGAACCGTAGTAACGTGAATAATATTTAGAGGGCGTTTTAATTTCTCGATAGTATATCCCGTTTTCCACCGTGAGTACCTAAGAAAATACATAGTACATTTTTTTAATACACGAACGTATTTTCGACTGTATTGTTTCTTTAAAATATCATAAAGTAAATTAGGATGTAAAAAGACAAGTTAACGAATTATTCGTCTTAGTTTTAAGGGACAGATCGTTTTGAACAGTCTCGGTAAAGTAGATAACAGAGTGAAAGTAACCAAACCGGTTCTCTCTCTCGAGAAACAAAAAAAATGTAAACTATCTTAATTTTCCTTGGATGTAAGTATGATTCTACGTTTAAATGTATGCAATAAAGAGAACAGTTTGTTTGCAAACAATCCTTGTGGCAACTTGTCTGTGTATGAGAATACATGTGACTTTATTTTTTAAAAATTAATGCAATAGATCATGAATGATGAATGGATGAAGAGCGAAACAAATACAGCAGCCTTTTAGTGCATCGCCATTAGCAGTAGTAACAGCATCTCCTAATACATTGACAACTAAATATATTCTTTACACGCAGTTTTTCCCACTGCGTTGAGATTTAATTAAAAGAGACATTTAACACTTTACCCCAAAGTATAGTGTATATCTCACGAATATTACGTTGATTTTGTATTTGCTCTGCGATCTTGTTGTGCGCAAAAATTAAGCAATTTAATTTAATTTAAGCAAATTAAGTGTCTGTTACATAGTCATGTTTACATCATCCCAGTCACTGGACTGCCAAAGCCGTTTCTGTACACCACTCAGCCTTGATTCCAGTGAGGAAAAGGGGGGTTTGCGGATGTGAAATGGGAAATGGAAGAAAGGGGATGGAGATGGGAGGATGAGGGATGCCGGATGGCAGATGCGAGATGGGGGATGGGAAGGGACGCTGAGAAAAAGCTCCGAGAATGACGTTACACGTATCAATTTTCAAGAAGTTTCAACACGACTTGCACTCCCTTGGAATCATGTTTCTTCAGTTTTGCAACTCTTGGTTGTAACTGACTTTTCACTGTGTCTGATACTCCAGGGACTGGAGACTCCAGGAGACTGAAAAAAGAAAAATACTAGACTTTAAACCATGCAAGTAACAGGTCTATAAACATAAGATTATCTCCTTCATCATGTTGTCACGCAAGTTCGTTGTCACTGCAGCCTCCTACGCAGGCGTTCTTACGGCTCGTCGCGCAATCTTACTTTCCAAGATTGCGAGACGAGCCAAAGACTGCCTGCTTAGGAGGCTATTCTCACTGCTAACGGTGGGGTTGTGTTGCGTGACGACTGAATAACAGCTGTGAAGAGCCAACTTACCTTACCACGACAAAAGCACCTCTATTCACCTTACACCACTCTAATAATGTGCCCGCGTCTGTGTTGTCCAGCAGCAATTTACTAAACAGCACTTGATCTATATCAAGAAGAAAACAAAGTAAGGTAAGTGATACGCGCACAGCAAGCGTTCCGATCGAAGAGCTCTTTCCGCACTCTGGCCACGCGAGGCAGCCTCGCCAAGCGGCAACATTTGCGCAGCCAGAATGCATGCAGAGAAATATATATTTTTTCTTTCGCACAGGAACGCTGCGCAGCGTAATGTTTACGGGGCTCATCAGACCGGAGCTTATCCCGATTTCTGTAGCATGAAACGACTAAGAGTATTTCTATTCCTCCCTGGATGGGATGCTAGTCAATCGCAGGGTTACTCCCAGCATTAAATTCACCGAAAACCCTTAATAAACCTGGGTGGAGAGAGGCACTGTGAGAGTTAAGTGTTTTGCACAAGAACACAACACAGTGCGCCCGGCCATCACTCGAACCCGAACCCCTCGATCCGGATACGAGCGCACAAACCACGAGGCCACTGCGCCTCACATGCAGCCTAATTTTTAAATATTGGCTTATTCGTGAAAACAAGAATAAACAATGTGTCGAATTGAACGAGAAAAAAAGCGAACTTCAAGAGGCAACAAACAACACAGCACTATTTTTTTGACCCTCACGCAAGCAAATACAGTTCTTTTCAGAACTACCCTCACCCAGACGATCACACAAGACAAACTACTGATACTCCTGGGTTCAAACCATTATGGTATTATGGCATGACGGAGTTTTGGTGACGAAGTTTTGGCCTTAAAATTACGGTGTTGTCACGGGCAACCTTCCTCGTTTCCATTGGTAACAATATCAACAGTCGTGTGTCGCCTGTCGCGTTGCCTACAATTTCGCGCGCTTTGCTGCCAATGACGTCAAAGGCCAACAAGCTGCCACTGGAAACGGAGCCAATTGCCCGTGACAACAATACGATTTTCACGTTAAGACATGGTGACCAAACTTTCGTCGAACCTTACTCAACTAATAATAGTACTATGCCTTACAAATACATAATATTTCGACGGTCGTCTTGGGGCAATTTAAGCGTAGCATACTACAAAGTTCTTGTGGTTTACCTGTGTTGCCTGCAGACTGAAGTCGTTCCTTGTCTTGGTTTATAAGTCTTTTTAAAGAAAAGTGTCCAGCAGCACTTTTGACAATATGATCCTAAAAAAACCACAAAATACAGAAATTAAAAACAAAATGCGTTACCAAACAAATTTAGACTGGAAAAATCTCCCAGCCATGCTCTGGGAAAGATTCTGCACAGTAAGGAAAAGCCTGAGCAAGTCGTGGCAATTAAGCGTAGGAAATGATGAGCCACAACCACTCGTCTTTGTGTGAGGAACTGACTTTTCTTGTGCAACCTTCTTACCTCATCATCTGTTGCAGGATCCAGGTCCCTATTGGCCAAATCGGATATGGTTGTCATTGCTGGCCTCACATCACCTTAAAAGCAAAACCACATCCAGCATTTAGGAAATGCTAAAGTTTCAACTCAGGTTCATTTTTCTACTCCTGTTGCGTATCTTAGGGTCGCGCACATGTTTTGGTCTAGATTTTATCTGTGGAGAAGCTAGTTCTGTTACTGTTCAAAACACCATAGATCCTAACGCATCGTTAATACTTGACTGGGCACCTCCTTCCCCCCAAATAACGCAAATATAAGACCGGAAGGATCGTTATTAACTCTAAGTTGTTTAAAGCCCCGTTCGCACAACGCCGGAGAAATTTGAGAACGGAGGTTTCACTCTGAAAATGCATCAAATGTTTTCCGTCCACTACGCCGGAGGAATTTGAAAATCACCGATCATTTTGGATTTGTGTTTAAGGAAATCTCAGCCAGGGAAATCACATGATTATAGCAACGTCACCAATTTCGAAAAGTTCCGTTTTCAAAATGTTTTCCGTCCGCACTAAAACACAAAGCTGGCGCTTTCAAAGTCCTCCGGTTTGAAGAGCGTTTTCGAAAAGCTCCGTTTTCGTGACGGATTAGTGTGGACGGTAGGCCTAACCGTAGAAATCAAGCTGCGTTTTCANNNTCCTCCGGTTTGAAGAGCGTTTTCGAAAAGCTCCGTTTTCGTGACGGATTAGTGTGGACGGTAGGCCTAACCGTAGAAATCAAGCTGCGTTTTCAAATTCTTCAGGAGTAGTGTGGATGGAGCCTTAGTATTCTCGTACCGATGCATTTATGAAGTGCAGCCAAAACCAGTTGACAGCCTCCTTTATCAAATAACAATTCTTCTGCGTTATTCTCAACCAGCTGTAACAGAGCAGGAGAAATGCCTTCTAAGAGTTCTTTTCGTCTCTGTTCTGAATCTTTTTTGCTGCAAAAACGAAAACAAGCAATGCTTTAATAACATTCATTTAACGCTACCATCAAGTCTTTAACCAGTAGTAACCGTGGATCAAGAAATAAGACAAAAAAAAAAAAACGNAAAAAAAAAAAAAAAAAAAAAAAAAAAAAAAAAAAAAAAAAAAAACGAGCAAGCAAACGAAGGAACTGTTGACTGCATGCACAGGACACCAGCCACAACACAGGCTATCCACCAAATTAGTAAACATTGCCCTTCCAGGGAATAAACACCAATAGTACCAACAGGAAGTTTAGAAACAAATGAAACCTGCAAACTAACAGCAAAAAGCTGCTGCCAGTCACGGCAGGAGCTTTTTTATTTCTCTTTGAACAACCTGATTAGGCCCTAATTTTGTTATCCAATTAAATTAGCACATTCACGTGATTGTCTATACCTAATAGCATTCCCATCTCCTTTCTTGAGTAACTCAACTACTTTGGGATGAAAGTGAGCTGGGCTTCTGGGACCCAGCAGATACATTAAAACCTTCCTGCCATATGTGTCTAAAGCTAACTCTTCAAGGGAAGGCTGGATTTCCTGTGAAGAAAATAAAAATAAGAACTTAGAACTGAGTGATTTAACAGATTCATCTACATGTCAGTTTGGTCCACAATAAAAAAAGGCTTGCATGAGATGACAGTCTCAAATCACATAATTCAAGAAGCCTAGAAACAGTTAATATTATTGCAGTTAGCTGTACAAAATGTATGCACAGAATCAAAACAGCTTCGGATACTTTGATAAAGAATGAAAGCGTGCGAAATTGCAGGCGACGATATTGTCACCACTGGAAACGAGGAAAGTTGCCTCTGGCAACACCATAACAATATTCTAAGTCCAAAACTTTGTCACCAAAGCTTTGTTGCAACTGATAATCATAATAGACTCTATTCATAAATGGCTGCCAATTAGAAATTCTTTTGTAAGTATTAAAATTAGCCTCACTGATCTAGTTTTTGAGTTGATGACTTAACAGAATTTTCACTCTCAAATGAGATCAGTGAGGCTGATTTAAATGCATATAAAAGAATAATATTTTAAATTCATAGCCATTTATAAATAGGAACACTCTTGAAGACAAAACAATGCGAATCTTACCGAGAACATAATTTTCTTGACAAGTACTGTGTCATCAACACAGTCAAATAATGCTAGAAGAACAAGATGACCGAACTCCTCCTGAAAAAAAAAGCAATGTTTCTCAATGCTGTGATCTTACAGTCAAACCAAATGAAGTGTACCTTTCAAGATTACATTTTAATGAATTGATCATCTGAATATTCACACCCTCTACTCATTTCAAGGGGTGTGATAATGAATTGATTATTTGAATATCAAAGCTGCTATTCTTGGACCGACTAGAGGGTTCAATATTCAAATAACCAATTCATTAATGTAATCTTCACTTGGTTTGACTGTAAAAGTTTTGCAGTAAAAATTTCTGTTTGCAGAAGATATTCTAGAAATTGGAGACAGCAGAAATATTCACATTGACACACTAGAAATTTTGGAGATTTGATTGTTAATTAGCTTTAATTTTCTCTATCTTTCTATGCAAGTCATTTAGTTTATACCAGTGAATCATACCCTGGAGTAAATCAAAGTAACCCACAATGTGCAATAAATTAATCTTTTAGATTCATAACTGTGTTAACCATTATGAATCATATTTTAAAAAAGCATTGAACACTTCTTACTTTGCTGATTTTTACATAATAACTCTTGAAAGACTTGATAAGTATTTTACGATCCTAAACAGAGATGAGAAAAGAGAAGCAACAGTCAGAAATAACATGACATAGAAACCTGCTTATATCGAACAATGTATAGTAGGTTATTCTTAGCATGAAATCTTTTCCAAAGCAGAAAAAAATGCCATGTGCTGTATGCCAGTGTCATTTTATAGCAATAATATTAACATTGGCCTAATGCTGAATGTGTGCACTTCCTTTATCCTGTTGGAACATTAACAACAGCATCACGCTGTTTGGAAGATAGGTGCCTGGGATGTCTGGGGACCTCCACTGAGATCAGCCAGCACCTTGACAGTAAAATGCTTCCTTGGATGGCAATTTGCACAACCCAGCCATGAGCCCCAAAACAGGCACGCATTACACTGAAATAACAGGGGAAAAGGGATGAGGAGGGAGGGGAAGAAGACAAGGCAAAATAACTAGCAGCTCTACCGAAAAACCACTTGACTATGCTACACTTTAACACGCTACTACCATGGACTGCACTGCGCCTGCACTGCGCCTGAGCTAACATCTGGGAACCACTGACTGCCTGATGAGGGCCAGCTTCTCTTTGTTGTTAACTTAGTTAAATTGCATTTAACTGCATTTAAAATAGCATCAACAGTACCAAGAGAACCTCACCTTTGTTGTTCCATGCCACAAACAGTGCATGCCAACCCTGGCTCCATCATGAGTGTGAAGAATAAGGACTACACAATCTTTGACCAACTCAATCATTTCCTGGGAAAAATGATGATTGATGTTAGCTTTAACTGGAAGGTATATATTTTTCTTAAACTAATTTAATAATTCCTCATGTTTAAACAAAGAAAACCATTACCTTAGTTGACAGTGTTTGGATATCCGATCAATCTTACAGTGTAATTAGCATAGATTTTTACGATTTTATTTCTCTGTTTAGTCCTTAGTTTTAGTTTTGATTGTGAGCTTCAGATGTCTAAATGTATTGCTCCATTAAGACCCTTTGACCCTGAGGAGTGATCCTGCCTGTGCCCAATTTGTATGGGTTATTGACCAAGCTTGTTCGGTCAAGATGGCCAGATATTGGCCAAGTTTTTTTTTTGCCTATTTATGGACTGAGACGGAGTTGAAGTCCATAAGCTCGCAAAAAAAAGAACAAGGGCAATGTCAAGCGATCTTGACCGAACAAGCTTGGTCAATAAAGGATTTTTTATATGGCTTTCAGGGAAATNATTTCCTGGGAAAAACGATGATTGATGTTAGACTTAACTGGAAGGTATATATTTTTCTTAAACTCACTTAATAATTCCTCATGTTTAAACAAAGAAAACCATTACCTTAGTTGACAGTGTCTGGATATCTGATCAATCTTACAGTGTAATTAGCATGGGTTTTTACGATTTTATTTCTCTGTTTAGTCTTTAGTTTTAGTTTTGATTGTGAGCTTCAAATGTCTAAATGTATTGCTCCATCAAGACCCTTTGACTCTGAGGAGTGATCCTGCCTGTGCTCAATTTGTATGGGTTATTGACCAAGCTTGTTTGGTCAAAATGGCCAGATATTGGCCAAGTTTTTTTGTGCATTTATGGACAGAGATGGAGTTGAAGTCCATAAGCTCGCAAAAAAAAAAGAACGAGGCCAATATCAAGCCATCTTGACCAAACAAGCTTGGTCAATAAATGATTTATTATATGGCTTTTGGGGAAATGTTTCTTGCAGGACATGGGGGGTAGTCCCGAGTGGGCAAGATAGCTCCATCTTGCCCGCTCGGGCAGCCAATCACAGTGCAGGATTTGATTCATCTTGCCTGCACACAGAGCTAGGCATATAATAACATATATTACTATCATTTTCCTATTCAGCAATCGCTGTTTCTGGTTAAAAAACTCTTTGCAATACATACCAATCTTGCATTTTCATCAGCGTGTGTAAGGTACTCCAACAGGACTCTGTGTACTATGCTGTGAGTAATGACTGATCTACAGAAAGAACATTTGCAGTTTGTGGAAAAAAAATCTTAGTTTTGGTTTCAACTGATGTTCTAATGAGCAGTTTCGTTGAAACACATTTTAGGATAAAAACTAGAGATAAAATCAAACGATATTTTGATCTCGCTGAGATCATTTTCAAGTTTGGAATTGATATAACAAATTTTGCATACATGGGTAAAATAAAAGTGAGAATTTGAAAATAGATAAAAATATGTAAATATGCACTAAGCATTGCTAAATTATGAAAGTGGTAAAAAAAAAAAACAAAGGTTAGATAAGACAAAAATTACAAAGATACAATAAGTGAGAAATATCAAATACACTGTGCTATAAAAATAATTTTGCATGGATGGAGTCAGACTGCTTGTTCAAAGTTGGCTTTAGTTCTTTAATAAAAAGCAATCAACTTTGCTCTCCCACTTTAGTGAGATCTTAAATCTAAGATCTATGTCACTTGGGTCCCTTCCATGTTGCTCTCTGACGTGTTTCCTGACTGCAGATCCCTTACATGTATGTGGGAAAAATAAATCTAGATACGCATCTAGTTCTTATCTGTGGACTCTATGTATACATACTGACAGTCTCTATTCTCAACTTTACCTGTCTACAAGAGGAAGTAATGCATCTTTCATGTATTTGAGGATTCCACTTTTCCTGGCTGGATCAGAATTTAACACTTTTGCCAAAGAGGTCAACTCTGATGACTGAAACAAGAGATGAAACATCCATAAACATCCGTAACTAATCTATAACTAATCTATAAAAGACTCTGATCAGAGATTTCTCACTAGCACTGTACATGTATGTAGAGTGTAAATTTGAACTCTGCAAATTGTTTCCCAAAGTTACTTTTTAGTTTACACAGAGGCCCTCATCTACACAAGGTGAGCTACTGACTGTGTGCTGGTCCAATGGTTTTTCTGAATGGCATTACTTCACCTGACATCTACAAAGTTCAAACATGTTAGTTTTCTGTCCCACAAGTAAGGGATTCAATAATCTAGCCAACAACAAAATCCACCAGACCAGGCTTATCATACCACTCAGGAAATCAATGAATCAGAATAATTCTCCTTTTCAATGTGAAAACATTTGCCACATAATAATTTAATTTATTTAATCTATTCCACATTTAAAATAAAACACTGTTTGCAACTTATAATAATACCCACATAACATTGTATTTTATGACTATTATTACTCCGATGGACAAACACCCCATCTAGGGGAGGGTAGAAATACTCCTAGTCACTTCATACTACGGAAACTGGGATAAGCTCCAGCCTGATGCGCCACTTGACTTGTATGCAGACTTAACCATTACAGAAGCATGATATTATAATTATTATTGATAGTTCTCAATATTTTTTATTACCTTAAAGAAAGCAAAATCAGCTCCATAAAACTCCTGGATGAGAAAAGCTTTTTGTGCAGAATTTGCATAATCACTGTATATAGTCTCAAGAATAGATGATGCCTCCTGAAAATTAATAAGGATATAATAGTGAGTTAATAATAATTGCTGACTTAATTACTGATAATTTAATAAACATTGGCCATAGACTGCCTTTTAATATGTGTCTAGCTTCGTGACTTAACTTCCTGACCTTGTGCCTGATGAGTTTGCGGACTTGTCCATAAAAGCACTTGATAATGACATCACGCTGCTTCTTTGTTCTGTATGACAAGGTCAATTTTCATTACATTTAATTATTAAATTTTATTAATTGAATGCCACTGTTTCATTTTCCTGTAATACTTTATTAAAAATGTTTATTTTTAACAAGTCCCTTGGTATGTGTATGCCATTGGAGTGCTGGACAAATTAAACATTTTATTGCTGTCAGTATAAACTAAAAATCAAAGTAAGTAGGATTTTACAAACTGCTTTCCTTAATAAATGACAAATTTTACCACCTACCCATAAATTAAAAACTTTTTCACAAAGAACTTTGAGTATTTTGACTTGATCAACTCTCCAAAATCATCTGAAATTAAGATAATAGCAAAATTGTAAGTCATGCAATTAATCAGACTGAGTAAACTAATCAAAGAGAGTCATCAACTACTGAAAAACCACATCTAGCCATGACATACAGGACACTAACACAAAACAATCCTATAATATTGTTATTAACATTGTTGATTTCTTCGCCTTTTCTCAACTTTATACCAATCTTTAGACCATTTCCTTTTTATACAGTCAACCCTCCAGTGATGTACACTACTCATATTTAAGTTTTTTGCTTGTAAGTTAAAGTTGGCTGTCTTGAAGTGGCATGTAAAACAAGAGCCCGCAAAACCAGATGCTCTCGTGGGGTAAACTTCTCCGCGTTGCCAGAAATTAATTGTTTTCTCGCAAGCTAACTGCTTGTAATTTATTCCAAAATATACACTTCAATGGTTCTCGCGAGGTGAGACTCTCGTCTCGAGACTCTTGTCTCGCGAGAAACGAGTCGAGAGGTGGTAACTTACTTTTGAGCGGTACTGTAGGTACTGTAGACACCAATCATAAATGTGCATGTACAGTGGCCACGGTCACAGCCACATACAAACACCATATTTTTAATCTCCCATAAGCGGACCCTTCTGCTAAGCGGACAGTTTCTGAACACAAAGGCATCATTCTACTTATGGGATGTTTGACTGCTCAGTAACTTGACACAGATAAATCTATCTGTCACATGACAGCTGAATTTACCTTTAAACTGCTCAAACAACTTCTGTCTTTGCTCTACGGTGCCGAATTTAACACAAGCTTGAATCACACGTCCTGTGTCATGTTTGAAAATAACCTAAAAATTATGGAAATGGTGAAATAATTAGGACTGATTTCATCAATTTTAAGATAATTTATTATTAATTGAGATCATAATCAAGATTTGCCCAGAATGATTCAAATATTTTGGTTTTAATTGGATAAAGTATACTTACTTCATGTGAGTGACCAGCAATTAGATTTAAAATCTTTTCTACCAATTCTGATTTCTCAGCTTCGGAACATTTTTTTCTGAAAAACACAAATCAAACAAACAGTGAGTCAAGTTTATATTAACTTTTCAAAAGCAAAACAATGAACAGACTTTATTTGTTGAACTCTTAATTACATTAACTCTTATTAATGCCTTTAATTATAGAGGCACAGTGACCTACTTGTGAGCAAGCTGGATTCTGGATCAAGCCGTTTTTGGGTTTGAGCCCTGGCCAGGGTCATTGCACTGCGATCTTGGGTAAGGCACTAACTCTCGTAGTGCCTCTCTCCACCCAAGTGTATAAATGGGTACCAGCAGATTTAATGCTGGGGGTAACCCTGCAATGGACTAGCATCCCTCGGGGGCAGTAGCAATACTTCTAGTCACTACATGCTACAGAAGCCAGGGATAAGCTCCAGCTGGATGGACCACTTGAAATCTGATATGTCTGCTACAACCTTGAACACTCAAATGCCTAAGTTGACAAACCTTCTAATAGTCTCATAGAGCTGTTTGAGATTGTGGACCAAGTCATAGTTTTCATCTTGTTTTCGACGAAAGTCTTTTCTTTCCTTTTTCTTCATTCGCCAGATGTTGGGCTTCTCATCAGAATCTAAATACAAGAATAGGGTCAAGCTGAGTACATACAGGGTCAGACAAGACTTATGCTTAACACAGATCTCCTGGTATGGCTGTTGTGATGTTCTATTCAGTTTGAATTAGTTGTTTCAGTTGTTTGCTTGGCCCTGCTAGTCTTTGGCCTATAAACATTGCCACAGGAAAATAAAGGTTATTTGTCGTGGCGCTCAATCCAAGCAATGCAAACAATGCAATGTCTGCACAACACTATTACAATTACAAGTCCAAAACAGTCATCAAAATTATGGATTGCTTTGATTGTGCATTAAGTGTTTCCAGAAGATACCCACACCCTTCCCATGGAAGGTTGTTTGGTTTGAACCCTCCCATCCCTCTGGAAATTCCAGATTAAACTCATATTCTCCATTAAAACCTTTGGCTTTTGAGTCTCCCTCCCCACTGGAATCCTTGAGGTGGGTAATTTCTGGAACTACACAATACTGATACACCTGGCAAATGGATTTTTATATTCTTTAACAATGTTATTAAATTCATTTGGAATGAGAATTTTTCCAGTCCGTAGTAAATGTTCTCACAGATAAGTTGCACCCCATTTGCAACAGAGATTTCAGGTAAATAGCATGAATCAATAATAATTTTATAAACTATAATATTAAGTTTTGTCTTCATACTTAAAATGAATTTTTACCTTTATTCTGTTCTCCTGGGTCAGATGTTTTCCTCTTTTTGACAAAGTCTTTAGATCCACTGCCATCTCCTAGTTTTCGTTTCAGAGCTCTGCTACTATTTAATTGTCCATTCTTAGTTCTATGCTGCGAGTCCTTGTCATTTTTGGAAAAATCTTTGTTACTTTTCTTGTTTTCTTTTTCCTGTTTTGAGTGTCCTTTCCTCCCATCTTGTCTTCCTTGTTCATCTTTCCACTTCTTTGCCTTGAATTTTTTCTTTCCATGATCATCTATATCATGAGCTTTTCTTTTTTGTCCTGGTGAATTATCTCCTCTAACATCTTTGGAAAACTTTTTTGGCTTAACTTTAAGCTTGATATCATCACCCTTCCCTTTGAATTTCTTCTTGAAACTCTTTGATCCACTAACAAATAAATACACAAATTTTATAAATAAGAAGCATATGCAGGCTATTAATAACTTCCCAGACTTAAATGGCTTTCTCTCTATTGTGCCATACAGACTCTCGTCCGTAGAACATACTCTACATGTAATTGTTTATAACTTATATAGAGAAATCAGTTGGTCTATTCAGTGTACTATTAAAAGGATGCAAAAATTACATGTATTGGGGTCTTGAGCTGCTCTTCCAAATTGAAATTGTCACTGGAAAAATTTGTTGAAAAATGCACGAGTTCAAAGTACTTAGAAAAACATCTCTGAAAAAACTATTGGCAAAAAGGTGATAATTAGCATGGTAGAAAAAAGGCTGAAAATAATAAACACTTTTTCTACTCTAATAATTGAATCAGAAAGAGATTATTTCAGTGCTATGCAATAGTGGGTTGAGAGTCTTGCCTTGTTTCGCCTTTCCTAACTCTACAGTCAAAATGTAGTTCCTACATGTAGGTCATGCCTGGGTTGTGTCTAGATACCTGTCTATTTGTCCATCCTTGAGTAAAATTAAGTTGGCATTAGAGAGAGATTGTTATGATATGCAGCTCCCAATAACAGTAAATTGTAAGAATTGGTGTACAACAATTATTATTGCTAAAAATGCTGGCCTTTGTATAGAGGTGGCCATTTGTAGAGGTTCAACAGTAGTTTTTCAACTGAACAGAATCACTGAAATATCTTTAGGGCTGTTCCAGCTATTTCAATCTCATATTGGGCCACTCCATTTAATATCCGCACCCCCCCTCCTATTGAGGTTAGGGGAAATCCGAGGGGGAGGAGGGGGGGTCATTGAATAAGGATGCCTGATATTTCATGTCACATTGTACAAAGGATTTTGACACATTCAGGTTAGATAGATACTCTGAAATTGCTCAATTTCCTCTTACGCCCAAAGGATGTCATTACTCAGTGTTATCCAGTTACAGTTCTACAAGTTATTAGAAAAAGAAATGTTGAGTTTTGACATTTTGTCATGCAGTTCACACTTCTTCCACCTTCTTTGTTTGTGTGTTAATGTATACTGTTTTCCTACTCATCATGCAAAATATCACACAGCATTGTGTATTTTCTTTTGTTTCCCCCAGCTCACTCACTCCATGCCAATAATCAATTCTCCCCTACGTTTGCCACATAAAACCCGGCCGGTGTAAATGGGAAGGAAATTATTTCAAATTTTAGAGATAATAATTGTTATTACATGCA